TTAAACATTGAACTTCCGGTGGTGGTTAACACCAGACACACAGAAGAGCAGTGGGTTGTACTTTCCTCAACCCGTGGAGCAGTGAAGTTATTCAGTACATGTGCCACACACCACAGTCCTGCCGGTTATGGGAATCAAACCACAAGCCAGACCACGAGCCAGATACTGGAACCATTAGGTCACAGGCTGCTAATTATCTGGTAGCGAGCAAAGAAACTTGTGAATGGGGTCCAAATATTTTGCTTGGTAGGAATTCCTGAAATAAGTAAAAAAAGATCTAACATTGGATAGAGATACTGCTTCTTGGTAAAGGGAAACTGATGAAACTACTGATGATGAGGGTCAGCGCTGACCCTAACCCTGACCCTGACCAGATATACCTACCTCTTATTTACTGTACGATCACTGCTTTTTCCCACCAGCCCCAGATTCCTGGCAGCCTTATGTAACTATTGATTTCCCCTATAAGCTCTGTTTGTTGTGCACTCCACTGAGAATGTTTCCCCATCACCGTATGTTGTTGTTGTATAGAGATGGAAGCACAGTAACGAATGCCTTCTCTCTTTGATTGTTAGGTTTCCTACAGTAGCTCGGTAATCTTCTAAACAGTCATAATCTCTTCATAAAATGGCCGCTAACGTTATTCTGCACAGAAGTTGTCAGTGCCCTACAGCTGGGCCAGATTTGGTAGATCAGGACTTTTTCTATTTTTTTTAAACATCTGAAGACAAAAAAAAAATCTTCATCATTGCACTTGTACTTATTTGAGCAGAAAGTCTCTCAAGCCAGGAACCAATATTTTCATTTTTCCATTCACTCAAATGGGATAATTTAGAGAGATTGGCCATATTTTTGATATCATTTCTGGTCGTGGGTCACTGCCCTATTTTTAGGTCTACTTTCTTCTGGGTCACCAGTGTCTGTCCCACTTTACTTCAGCTGCTGCAGTATTTCCGCCTCCATCTGATTCCATCACGCTGAGAGCCAAAGTCTTTGATCTTATGATCGCCCTCCCAATTTAATAATAGTTTGGCCACACTGCCATGTGGCCCGGTGCCAAATGACTCCTAGGATAATCAGAGAATTACTTTGTGTATATTAATATGGCAATAACTTATGGACTATGGATATTTAGTCCATTACTTCCTTTGACATAAAACCACAGCTGAGATAAGAGCCTCCTGTGCACGTGGGGCTGCTTAGGTTCTTGGACTTTTCTATTAGTATGTAAATTAGTAAGTCAATGAAATGGAACAGTACAGTATTTTCTTCAGATCAGATGGAAAGTCCGGGTATTTTCCATCCTGAACAAGTATTGAAAAAAATTTGACATTTTCTTTTTCCACCAGATGTCCTCCACATCTAATTCTGGGATTATCAACAACAGCTTCTCTGACCCCAATCATGTGCCAGAATATTCCTCATCTTTTCTTCTCCTTCTTTTCTGCCTTCATCCTCCAGCACTTTTGTGAGAAGCTGGTTTATCTGCTATTGTGTGAGCAGTGTTGTATATTCTACAGCTTAGTGCCCCCTGCTGAATACTGTCTTCATCTTTTTCTCCTTTCATAAACAATACAGTCAGATTTATCTCACTCCTTGGCTTCGTATCACAACACAGAAGACGTCTACAGATTCCACGATAGTCTTCTCCCACTTCACAAACTCCCTGAGTGGATGTTATTGCGATAAGCTTCAAAACAACACACTGTTTTGATGTCTATTTGTGTGCGACATGGAATTGTAGATAAGCGTGCAATAAAGAGGGTATAAGAGATGGTACAGACTAGAGATCTGGTAAGTTATCGTCTGATAATTTGATACATTTTAATGGTCCAATTATGTCATTCAAGACAGTATTTTACAGATAAATGCAGTGAGGTTTCTCCTCCATTGTCTCCTTGGATCCCTGACATTGTACTCCTGCACCACAGCACAGCTATTAACATTGCTGCTCCACTTTGCAATTCAAGCCCGGGTAAAAATGTGAAGGGAAAAACGTTTTAACACATCTAATTTGAAGTAATTTAACGGAAGCCATTTAAAAGTTCACTGTCACAAAGAAACAAACCAGGAGTTAGCTACAAGGCTAATGACATGACACAAAGTGTAGATAAAAGGTGCAAAAAGTTTGACATATTATTTCTTCTAATGTTACATGTCGTGAAGAACGGTTTAGTAGTGGTACCCAAATCCTTTTTGTCCACAAAGTCAAGACAAATATGTACTACTACAACAAAACAAATCAGGCACCGAACATGAAATAAATAGTCCAAGAAAACGTGCAAAATACCAGGAGTTCTGTAAACAATTTTTCTTTGAAGGTAAAAAAAAAGTGTGTGATGGATTACAGCTACATTGAGGTGTAATTACATTTTAAACTGTGTTTTCTTGTACAGTAGCTGTGGTGTCACAGCAGATACAGTAAAGGAAAGCTCCCAGAGTGCGATAACCACCTGCATAGAGAACAGTCTACGCACTGCCAGCAGGACAGTAAAATATTCTTTACACCTAGTGACTTTGACCACTGGTTTGGCAGTCAACTAAAAGAGATCCAGAAACCCTCGACAGTACGGGACTACAATAAAAATAAATAAGTTATCAAAATGAATGTTTGCATATTTTGAATGCTAAGTATGTTAGCAGCAGTAAGTGGGGAGAAGTAGGAAGATTCACTGAGTGTTGTTTAAATACTTATACCCTACGGTTGTCACTCTTGAGCTCTGCAACGATCAGAAATGTTTTATTTCTGTCCCTTTTCTAAACCTTGTGGCAGTTATCTTGTACAGCATTTTTGATTTGCTAAAATGATGATGATGAAATATTTTTCTGGTCCATCTGCATCCTGCCTATTAATTATTGCATGCCCCCCGCCCCACCCCTCCAAGCCTGATTTACTCATTTTCTTATTAACTATTTATGACGCCATAATGATTAACAATATGTTTGGGGCTAATCTGTGTGAAAATGAAGGCAGCGCTGCAAGAGATCTAACAAATTACCACTATTCTGCCCTCATTCCTGGGTGATATTTATAGACCTGTATAAAAGTCTGGTGTACATACAGTACAATGGCAATATTCAGATGTAAAATTTCACTCTTTTCATTGTTTGTTTTGTTTAAAGTGAATTAATTGTACTGTTAATATTTCATTTTTGTTGTTTGGTACATAATTGACCCGAGGTGTTTTGCAAAATTAAACTTATATTAGAGTCAGCCTCAGCCCAGAGGTAAAACAAATACGACTCGTTATATTCTCCCAACCGGCAGCGTGAGTTTCACTGAGCTAGAAAAACACATCGTGCATTCTTCTTCACATCCCCGTCCTGTGCTGTCATTTTGTCATTTTCCATTGCACATACAGTACTGTGCTGTACACATCAGCAGAATAGCTGGAAAAACGTCAGCAGAAGCCATCAAACTGACAGTACGCTGGAAATGACAGAGTCAGACGAAACAAGAAAAACCAGTGTGTAATACTTCCTGACAGAGCATCTTGAAAATAACCCTCAGCCAAAGGTTGGGGCAAAGGACTGTCAAAAACATGATCACATGATAAAATAAGCAAATGCCAATAGCAGCGCTGTTCAGGATGCTTAGCATAAATATGTCAGTTTTTAGGAGTAATATCAAGTAGATAAAAAATACAAAAAATAGGGCTGGGAAAAAGCATTAATCATGTTCATTAAAATTTGTCATTAATAATGTAATTTTTAAATGTAGATTTAAAAAAAAACCCATTCAGTTATTAAGGTTAAAACTGGACTGACATGGATGGACGGTGAAACTATTAATCATCCAATAATTCCTCCGTCCATCGACTTCCTTTAATATAATTTGTGGAGGCTTCACCCGTCTCACCGCACATGGGGCGACAAGTGTGAAGAAAGATGATATATTTTGCGTATGATAACAATTAATCACAATTAATCATGATTAATCACTGTGACTAACCCACAGCTACCCTGAGATTAATCTGCTTAAAATATTAATGGTTTGTGATCCCCTAATAATATGTGTGAATGTGGACCTGTAGATGCTATCAAGATGTAGGTTTTTTTTTAGCTTTTTTTAAAATATTTCTACTTCCTTTTGCATGTGGTTATGGTTATTACGGAGTGTTGGCGGCCTCCGTCTGATGACGGCAGGGATGGGCTCCTGTTCTGTGAAAACGATTAAGAGCTAATTATAATACAACATTACAAAAACATCCATTCATAAATCTGATCCCAGTGACGTCAAAGCTCTTTGTCTGCGTCTGTTTTCCAATATATCTTCACGGATCGTATTTCAAATGTAGTCCTGCCATTTGTTTCACATGTTATACAAATATACATTGACCTCGTAGGTCTGTGTGACATCAGAGGATTCACATATAAAAAAAACTCTTTGTCAGGCTGAGTACTTCAGTTTCTAAGACATTCACTGACCATAAAATTACAAACCTCTCATCGAGGCTTTGCAGAAAGGTATCATTAGGTTAGCGCTGGCTCTTGCATGTGCCAGTGTGTGGTAAACATGACTGGGAGGGGGAAAAAAAATGAAATTCTCAAAGGGAAAAGACAGTTTTGAGTTCTTCTCGCAGCAACCACTTATCTCCTTCCACCTATTTTACTCAGTCCTGTGCACAAATGGAACCCCAGGGAGGCCGTGTGCCGCTGATGCATAAACTTAAAGTAAATGCAATGGGAGAAGACATGCCCTCATCATCTGCCTCAATGAACCTGAATTTCACATGTAATTGCACACATTAACCCAACCAGGAAGCGGCATATGAGGAATGTTTCCTCCCTTCGACACCTGCTCCACGCTGCTACAGTAAAAGCGTCCGAAATGGATTGTTTCCTCTGCGTTCTGGGCCAAATGGCGACTGGCCCGTACCAAATTTAATTGGCATATAGAGACGGGCCGTGACTGGCACAGCACACGCCACACTCACTCACAAAGCAAAGTCAATAACGATCGCTTTTAGGGAAATGGTGGAGTGGCAGCGTGTGGGAGAGGAGCTGGTGGATATGTCAAAGTGGAGAAGCAGGCGAGCAGAGAAGGACCAACCACGAGTTCCCCTCCAGCATTAAGTTGTCCATCTTGTCTCCACTAAAGGAGCAGCCTGTCACATGGGAACTAATTAAGACGGCGACTTGCACGCTGGCTGCAGCGCTGCCACTCTGCCACATTTAACATCTGTCCTATTTGTGGGGCAGTTTGAAAGCAGTAATTCAGCAGACAAATGCTTGTTTTGCAGCAGTTCACCCCTGTTAGCTCTTAACCACTGGTCCGTCTGATCAGTGTAGCCTGACAAAACTGATCGCTTAATCCTCCTGAACACAGCACTCTGATCTGGAAGGAAAAATCTAATAGAGCATGTTTTATGTGCCTCCTCCAGGAGAATCATTCTGATGTGATGCCACATTATACAGGATGCGTTGTGACATTCCCCCAGCTGACTAAGCACAGCAGGCTAATGGTGGCAGAGGAAAACAGGTTATTAGCATTAGCTCACCTTTAAAACATGGCCTCCGGGAGATGAAGAGGCGGCTCCTTCAGAGAAGGTCTCAAGCTGCAGAACCACGAAGCTCATCTGCATCTAATGCGGAATCGAGTTCATATAAACATCAATAACACATGCACATATTCAATATTTATTACGATTCAGAACAAGTTTCTTTTTTTAATTACATGTTCTGTGTCGGGTCCTGACATTTCCATCACTACACGTGGTCAGTGCATTCTGCTGCAGTTTGACTCAGGTCAACACTGAGGCCAACAGACATTCAGGTTTATTCTGAAGAAAAACTGGTTTAACTTTGAGTTTTTTCTTGTGCTAGCATCGCTCCTGCATAAGTGGGTGTATGGAAGACTGTACAGTGTTTAAAATATAATAATAATAATAATAAAAATTTGAACTTTATGGATCCCAGTTCTTGTGTTAACAGCAGATCTGCTGCCCCTTGCAGGTTCCTCTGGGAATCAAACCCAAGACCACATCTCTGGGGTCATTTTTACATCATTAAGACCCTAATCCTAACTCGTGCTAATTGAAGATTGTGTTGTTTTAATCTAAAAAAAAGAAAAAACCCTGACGTTGCCTAAAGGAGTGAGTGTTCCATTAGTGCTTTGTTCAGCTTTAATGTTCATCAGCCAACCATCAGTGTTTTTTCTCTCCTCGCTCCAGCTCCTCCACCAAGGCCAACCAACAAAGGGATGTGTTTTATGTCGACAACTTAGTGGGAAAGGACTTAACTGTGTCTTGTAGAGTCTTTGTTGCAGAGGCAGTGTAATTAACACGTGGTAACAGATCCAGAGTGGTGCCACAGCTAATGGTACTTTAGAACACAGTGGAACACAAACACTGACTAAAAAAAAAACAAAAACGTTTTCAGTCAGTGAAAATCTCTCTATGCCTTTGCTCTCAGATTAAAATTCTAATATGATCTCTATGTTAATTATTGTTTGTTTGTTGAATCTAGTTCAAAAAATTCTTCAATTTTGCTTTACATGTTTTATTGTATTTGTTTTGATATTTTGGGCTTTTAGAAGACTAGTCAGCTGTATCTTAAAAATCCCACAATTTCTTGATGGTCGTTTTGTGAGCATTGGCAACATTTTGGATTTTTTTCATTTTAAACACTCTCTGACTTTTTTCCAGTCTTGAAGAAACATCCTGACAGCTAGCTCTCCAATGTACCTAGAATCACGATGTCAGCTGTCTCCGTCATCAAACTGAACCTGATACAGTGGATCTATCAAAATTTCATGAATTCAAGTTGCACTGTGTCACTGAAGTGACTGAAGTATCCAAATCTATAAGTTAAGGTGAAATAAATGACAGCGACGCCCTGAAGTCGCAGAGATGGGTGGACGAGAGGAGGAGGAGAACAAGGAGGAGGCGGAGGAGGAGAAGTGGGTGCGCGCAGTTCGGTGTAGTGGCACAGGCGACTGAAGCAGAGGTGTAACTGATCCCAGGGAACGACGTCCGCTATTTCCGTCCCCCGTGGTTTAGTCACGTGTCCTTAGGGAACGTTTAGTGTGTAGACCCGGACACGCGGTGGAAAGAACGCACGGTCGCGCACAGTTGGGCAAATCGACATCCATCGACGCGCGTAAGTGACCCGGGCGGTGGATGAAGCGGATCCGTGTAGTTTCAGGGCGTTGTCACACAATCTCTAAAGTGCAGTTTGACGTCCTCCAGGCTCTGCGCACACTGACCGCTTCAAAGTTGAGCGCCGAGCAGCTGTGAACCTTCCTGACTCCCTGTTGCCATCCTGCGCCACGAGACGACGCACGGAGCTGTCAGCGCGAACCGAGGTAAGCTGTGCTTCATTCCTGTGGTTGTGGAGGGAACTGAGAGAGCAGCGTGCACGAGCTGTCCTCGCAGTCACACTCTTACTGTTAGTTTGTTTGTGTGCAATGTGCGGCGCATGTTTTGCAACAGGAGAATAATGATCCAAATCAGCTGCTCAGGATCGTGCGTAAAGCTGTTCGATCCTCCCAGTACAACACTGATGTAAACAGCAGATCTGGTCCTGGAACACAGTGATGTCCAGTTGAACTGTTTTTTTTTAACTGTTATTGTTGCCTTCACTGTTGTTTGTGAAGCCACCGTAACATACAGACATGTGATGCCACACAGCTGTTTCCACAGAATCGACTGTTTTATTGGATGGTTGAGTGGAATGGTGCCTTGTTGCATTCAGCACACACACACACACACACACGGTCACAGTTGTACAGGATTAGCAGGGAAAGACTTGGGGTGATTCCCAGCTACTCCCCTGACACCAACCCCAGCACTTGTAAAAACTGGGAATGAAATATTCGAGCAGTGTGCATCCAGGATCTTTTAGCAGACTTTTCCTGTTGATCCAAATTCAAATTTGTTCCTTTCTGTGACTTCATTGCACAAGGCCAGATTCAAATGTTACTTTCCAGATTTTTTTTTTTTTTTTTTTTTTTTTTTTTTTTTTTTTTTTTACATTTTACATCGTGCTGACAGGTGACTGGCATCTGAGCTCACGGTTTTTGTTTTTAAGATCACAACATAAAGACGAAAGTGAATGTTACATCAACGGTTTCTACTGCATTCATCATTACGTTGGATGCTTGAGTCAAGCTGTGCTTTGATGCATCCATGGCACTCAGTCACAGTACTACAGGATCAGAAGGGAAGGACTTGGGGTGATTCCCCTGACAACACCGCTGGAGATGATTCAGATGAAAAAAAAGGACAAGGTGGAGAATCAGTTTAAGAACAATCACACAAGGTTAGCAGGTGTGTGTATCTGTTGTATAAATCTACAGGGATGCTTTTCTCCATCTGTTGTTTCTTGTTTTCTCATTGTTTGGCAAGGCCCAGCAGGTGGCAGTAATAGAACTTAAAGGTTGCACAGTTGCTTTTAAATTCCAAAGAAGAAGTGAGACATCGTGGTGCGTGATCTGTCTTTGTAACACATTTCAAATTGTTGATGACAAATGTGAACTTTTTGTGTGTTTTGTAGTGTAGTTTTGAGATTTTTAAATAATTATTATCTGGACAGGACTGTAGAAATGCATTTTTTCTGGTTACTTCAGTCGCCTTCATTAGTAAAACACAGTTTTGCAGCGTCAACAGTGAGTTCTTATCTCTACTCTTCTGGTTTATTTCTTACTAATTTAATCCTTTTACCCACTGTGCTGAAAGTGACAGCTTTGGTTCCATAGTTTAGAAATGTAATAGAGATTCAAACCTATTATAGCCGTGTTTTAACCTTGACTGGAAAGTGACAGAATAATAGTGCAGCTATTATGGAGACAGTGCCGCAGCCTTTGGAGGACGGAGAGTCAATTTAGCTTCTGAAACCAAATGTAAGATGCCAGCTCTTAATCAATAATGCAACATATAAAACAATGAGAAGAAAAATTGGTCCCCTGCACTGAGGCGTCCTGGCCTCTGCCTGTTCCTCTGTCTCTAAACCAGACTGTAGAAATGGAAATAAGAAAAGAAGTTTGCTGACTTGAGAAGTAAGATAGTTTGTCAATGATTATCTTGATGATTTGAAGCATTCGATGACTCGCTTGAGATATTTTTCTATAACATAGATGTCAGACTTAAAAAAAAGTGAACAAATAAAATGATTAGCTTCTAGGTTGAAGAGTTCTGTTAAGCAACTGGACGTGAATTTTGAATTAGCTTCTACCTGTGACTGACAGGTGGATTGTCCAATGGGATTACAGCCTTACTGTGATTGTGATGTTACTGTCCAGGAATACTGGACCTTATATAGTGTAAAAAATAGAAAACCAAATATTTATGCACTTTTACCAATAACCAGTCAATTTTAAATAAGAGGGGCCAAAAAGCACAACTTGACTACTTTTACAACGTTTGCTTTTATAAACAGGACCGGTTGAACCGGGCAGTGAGAAGATTCTGATTAATCATGATTAATTGTGATCAGAATACGTATGTGAGTGAGAACTTTTGAATGTGTAGTGACACTGTGGTTAATCTGTCAAGCAGCCTGTTTCACTTGATAAAACTATAACAGTGTTCTACATCTCACAAGGTAATTTACTTGCCGACTCCAACCGCACTCACCACTTGTTAATGCACAATGACTGTGGTTAATGAGACAGGACTCGGCACATGGGGCCGACCTTCTTAGAGCGCGCTGACAGTTGGATGAATACAGCTGACACCCTTATTCAGCAGGGTGCTGTCTGCTGCTTCAGTCGCCTCATATGCTTGACTCTCTCTCTTTTTCTCTCTCTCTCTCTCAACCTGTTCCAATTGTATGCTCAGATGATAATTATTGAGACATAATGATGATGGCACGAGCTGCACTTATTTTCTAGTGGAGTGACAGAGGCTCGGCTTGCCAACAAAAGGGTGATTAGAACTGAAGCTCTAGGATTATATTCTGTTTTGATGCAGCGGCTTCTTAGAACAGATGTAAATACCCAGTGTACATCAGTAGCTGGCTGACTGTGGGCTGATTAGACTACAGTACATGCAAAGGCACTGCCAATCTGCCAACCTCAGTATGAACATGATTTAAAAAAAAAAAAAGAAGAAAAATAAGTTCAGAAAGAGTGCAGTGTTTTTGGTGTTAAAAAATTACACTAAAAAAAAACAACAGAAAGGATAAAAACTTCAATGGTTAATCTTGTTATCATTAGCTGTCTTTCATATTTGATGCTTGTTGCTTACTCTAACTGTCAAATCCTGAAACTGAACACCTACAGGTTACTCGTCCACTGCTGGTTTAAATTTCTTTGTTTGCTCAAAAGCACTCCTGCCTTTGTGTTTACTTGATTAAAAATTGATGTGTAGGCGTCAGGGATCTTCTAAATGTTTCAGAGATCACTCACTCTCTCTTCATACGCTGACCGTCATGTTTTCTGTGGTGGACGAGGTTGTGGGTCCAGTTCAGATCTTCATAGAAGGAACACAGCTGAGAGTGGTTGTTGTCTGTGCTGTCTGTCAACGGTTGTAGGTGCGGCCTCCTGGCTGAAAGGATGATGTGCTTTATGAATCAAAACAGTCTGGTCTTTCAAATCAAACTTCCTGCACGCTGTGCTCTACCAGAAACATCCTTTTAATGCATCAGAGGTGGCCTCTGCAGGCGTCAGTGAAACCAGACGGTTGCACGTGTGGACCCTGTAAAGTGTGTCTCACAGACATGTTTATCGTGACTTTCCTAGATTGAAATTATAACGGTGTGACAGATTGACTGGAGGGCTAACGTATACGCCGTCATGTCCACAGCAGCCGCCGCTGCCTCCAGTCGGCGCCACAGTCGTTTGCCTTTGCCGCTTGTGGGTTGGTTTAATATTCAATTATGACAGAGAGCTGGTTTAACGGGAGCTATGAAGAAGCCCCAGTGATTCATGAGTGGGCATCTTGGCTAAATGGGCTCACTGTGTGCCCTGGAGGAGGGAAAAGAAGGCAGATGGTTTGTGGGGGTGGATTCGCCTGACGTGGCAGGACTTTTTTTTTGCACTTTTGCAATATTTGTGGTGTAAACAGCATCCAGAGGAAAACAAAGTATAATGTTATTTTCCCCAAAGTCTTGGTTAGTTGGTCTACCTGGAATACATGCAGCGGCAGAGCTCACGCAACAATTACGTGTATCTAGAATTGTGTATCTGATTAATCACAGTGCTACCGTTGATTCATCATGGTTAATCATTAATCATTTGTGATTATTTGAGATAAATCCCTAAATGCAGTGTGATAGATGCAGTGTTTTTTGTGTATATATTTTTTAAAAAGACAAATAACAGCATGTTTTTATTTGTGACTAATCCAAATGATGGAACTATTAATATAGAAATAAATCAAGAAAAATATGCAAAGGTATTACTCAAAATGAAACCCACTAATGATTATTAATGCTGTGTGGAGTATTTTAGGCTTGAGGTGCCTCTGTGAAATGCAAAAAAAAAAAAAACACCCCAACAGTGTGTGTAAATAACAACATCCATGAAGACTGTAATAGAGCAAAGACACGTTGATTTGTATATTTGTTTATTTTAATCAAATGATTTCACGTGGTTAACGTCTTCCTCTCCACAGCCTCACATCCCAGTCTGCTGTTGCTGTGAGAGTGTGTCAGTGTTTGACATGTACTCTACTGTAGTCCTCATGTCTGTTGTACTGACTAACTGCACTCAGGTGAAACTGGCTGTCCACTGTTTTCTTTTGCACTCTTTGCTGAAGTGGACTCTCTCTTGTCAGCTCATGGCAGAAGTGATTTTTCAGGTGTCAGTCACTTGGTCCTGGCTGAGGGGCTGAAATCTGCTCCGAGCTGTCAGTTAGATTAGTCATAGGAGCAGAGTCTGGTTCTCCAGGCGACAGTCGATACAAAGATCTGTAAATCCTCCACGATGGACACACACACACACCCCCGCATGCAATGCACAACCCCCACCGAGGACTTAATGCTCAAGGTCAAGCAGGGTCATGGGAGATCCTTTTCAAGTTGAAGTCGCCTTTGGGAGACTGCTTCCTCCATGCCCTTGATACACAGAGCAACACACTGGGCACAAAATCACTGGGTTTACCAATACTTATGTGTCTCTAATTTTAATTGCAGTCCATTTATGGGAGAATCCAATGTGTTATTGCCTTTGCAAAGTGTATTAAAATATAATTATAGCCATCTAAGTGCAGTTATGTCCCCATAGTTCAAATTGAATGACTTTCTTTGGAATCAGGTAAAGTCCAGGGCTGTCGGCCAGTTCCTCATTTATTGGAAATCTTGACTTAGAGCAGAGCCAAGTATTTTTTTTTTAAATTGATTCTCTCGTAGTTATATAGATATACT